CGGATTCATCGGGCGTTGGATTCGGATGATGTTGAATTAGTTCGAATGCTACTGAAAGAGGGTCATACGAACTTAGACGAGGCCTATGCACTTCACTACGCTGTGGCTTACTGCGATGCTAAGACAACAACCGAGATGCTGGACCTCGGACTCTCCGATGTTAATCATCGGAACTCGAGGGGGTATACGGTGTTACACGTTGCTGCTATGAGGAAAGAGCCTAAGATTATAGTTTCTCTTTTAACGAAAGGTGCTAGGCCATCTGATCTCACAATTGATGGTAGGAAAGCTGTTCAGATCTCAAAGCGGCTCACCCGGGCTGCCGATTACTATAAATCAACCGAGGAAGGGAAGGCTTCTCCGAAGGACCGGCTGTGCATAGAGATACTGGAGCAGGCTGAAATAAGAGATCCCTTGCATGGAGAAGCTTCTTTGTCTCTTGCAATGGCTGGTGATGATCTTCGGATGAAATTGTTGTATCTCGAAAATAGAGGTAATTTTCATATTTGTGTCGGTCCAACTTTTCATTTTCGTTTTAAACTCTGTATCCGACACCCATGTCCAACATATATAATGAAAAGCGAAGAGTGAAAACAATATAATCAACCATTGTATTCAATGTTGTTTGAACCATCTCTTAACTTTGGCAGTTGGACTGGCAAAACTTCTATTCCCCATGGAAGCAAAAGTTGTGATGGATATTGCTCAAGTGGATGGAACATCAGAGTTCCAATTAGCTACCATCAATTCTAACAAATTAAATGGTGCACAAACAACTGTGGACTTGAATGAGGCACCTTTCAGGATTCAAGTGGAGCATTTAAATAGACTCCGAGCACTTTCCAGAACTGGTACTAAAATGTCGCAATAATTTTTCTCTCTTTAGTCCTTGTCTATGGTACTCTAACTCGAGCTGAGAGTCATGTACGGTTGTAAACCAACACTGATATGTTCGAACTCAAGCTAACCCTCTATCTGTGTGTCTTGGGCAGTGGAACTCGGGAAACGATTTTTCCCTCGTTGCTCGGAAGTGTTGAACAAGATCATGGATGCCGACGACCTATCGCAGCTTGCATGCGGAGGGAACGATACAGCAGAGGAACGAGCAGTTAAAAGGCAGAGGTACGTGGAACTACAAGATGTACTAAGTAAGGCATTCCATGAAGACAAAGAGGAGTTTGATAGATCAGCCATCTCATCTTCTTCTTCATCAAAGTCCATAGTCGTGACCAGGACTAAAGGTAAGCTCACTGGTAATGCTAATGGCAGTGTTAGGGGTGGTTAAGACTTGACGCCTAATGCAATCCTTTTATAGTTGTACTTTCTTCACCGGTAATACGAGACCGAGGTTCATAAAATCAAATCTTTTGATGCGGTTGAATTTGTAATTTTGTTGTATTTGGTTCGGTAATAATATTTTTATCGACTTTGGTTTTGTTAATAGAATAAGTGGGTGTTTTTTTTTGGGGGGGAGGGGGAGGGAGGAGAAGAGAGTTCAACTTCTAAGTGAAATTTTTTTTGAGAATTGAGTTGATAATTCCATCCGGTTCCATCTCCTATCGACTGCTCTAGTATACCCGATTTGCCCGACTTTGACATTGGATAAAATAAGAACCGTCTCGGATATTTTTAGAATCTTGAGCGAAAACTCAAAGATAATTTTTATAGAATAAAAATGCATTCTATTACTTTGAACAAATAATTTAGTATTTCTATAATAAATCATAGAAAAATAATAAAATTTTATTAAACATATTATTTTCATTGTTTTGTTAAGAAAAAACAATTAAAAGTTAAAACAATAAAGGATATTTACCAACTTACCAGAAAAGTTAAAGAATATATAATAAATCAAAGAATGTGATTTGAGGAATAGAGAAAGATATTTAATTTGAAATTGAATAATTCAATGAGAAAGAAAATGAGAACTTTGGGCGATACATGATGCTTTGGAACATGCATGGAGATTTGGTCACCGTAAAGTAGAAGTGGAGACGGATTGCTTAGAGGCTTTACGTGCTTTGGAAGGACCTTTGAACATGTTTAGTGGGATAACACTTGTGGATTCGACTAGATTGTTGATGGAACGAGAGTGAGAAATTAGAATTAGGTGTGTTCGAGCCGAGCAATTAATGAGATATGCGGCCCTAGTTGTAAAGATTAAAAGAGTGGGGCCTTAGTTGTACAGATTAAAGAAGTGGGGTCTTAACTTAGGTGACGTTTGGTTGGTATGAATCCCATGAAATTGGTAGGAATTGGAATCCGATTCTACTACTTTCCCATGTTTGGTTCAAGTTTTTCAAGGGAATTAGAATCTCTCATGGCTTCAACTTTCCATCAAATGAGGGAAAATGAATTACATCCAATAATGGATGGAATTTAATTATCTTGTTGGAGGGAATTGAAATTTGACCATACTACCTTCATCAATCTTTTGGTAACTTATTCATATATTGAATAAAAATATTTTTTTATTATTTCGGGTCGAGTTTCTAATTCATATATTCGGTCGGGTCGGGTGAAATTTTATTTTGGTCGGGTCGGTCGGTTTTTTTAAGTGTGATATTCGGGTCGGTCGAGTTCAGGTTTAGGGTGTAAAATACCCGACCCGAAAATATATATAATTTTACCTTATATATTTAGGAATAATTACAATAATACCCCTCTATATATAATTTTTTTCAATTAAGTCACTGTTTTTATTAAATAAAAATAATTTTTTTTATTATTTCGGGTTGGGTCGGATTTCTAATTCATATATTCGGGTCAGGTGAAACTTTATTTTGTTCGGGTCGGGTCGGGTTTTTTAAGTGTGATATTCGGATCGAGTCGAGTTTTTTTTAAGTGTGGTATTCGGGTTGGGTCAGGTCGGGTTTAGGGTGAAAAAATCGGAACTGACCCGAAAAAAATATATAATTTTACCTTATATATTTATGAATAATTACAATAATACCCCTCTATATATAATTTTTTCAATTAAGTCAATGTTTTTATTGAATAAAAATAATTTTTTATTATTTCGTGTCGTGTCGGGTCGGATTTCTAATTCATATATCGAATAAAAATAGTTTTTGGTATATCTTTTGGTAACTAATTAACATACTCAGATTGGAATGTATCGAAATATTGCTCTATCTTTTGGTAACTTATTAACATATTTTGATTGCGATGATTTTAACTTATGATGTTTATTAGCATGATTTTTATAATTTATTGAAATGAATAATCAATCAATAAAATGAAAATATAATATTTTTTTAATTTTTTATAATATATTACTACATGTAAATTGTAAAATAAACTAAAATAAAGCAAAAATACAAGAAGATAAATTATATCATTTTACATTATTGAAATTAAATTCATCTGACATCTCTGCGAACCAAACAGAATATGGAATTAGATTCCAATTCCATTTACTGCCAACCAAACATAATATGGAATTGAATTTCAATTCATGACAGATTCCAATTCCTGAACAGATTCCAATTCCCTTAGAAACATTCAAGCCAACCAAACACCACTTTAAGTAATCGTTCAGGGTGCTTCCGTTAAGAGTCGGCTCTAGATAAGATTCTTTTGATTTTTGAACTCAATTTAAACCGGGTAAATTATCAAATTAGTCACTCACATGTTATTTTATTTCTATTTTGATCAAATCATACTTAACATTGTGTTTTTGTTTTGATTATCCATCGTTAAAAAAATAAAATAACGATGTTGATGTTATATGATATAATAATTTAGGGTTTTGATACAACTTACTTGAAACTTAAATTTAAGATTACTTATGAAATAAGAATTCTACATATATATTTATCTTTCGACTCAGATAAGAAAAATAAGTTGAAATTTTAGAGCAAATTTAGGGTTCAACATGTTTAGAGTTTAAAAAAATGAAAAAGAGTTGAAGATAATAGAAACTTTAGCTCTTCAACGCACCTTCTATTTAATTACATTTGATGGAATAAATTCTCTCGAAAGAATAAATTAAAATTAGTAATTTAAAAAAATAAGGAAAATGATTATATTATAACAAAATGTCACATAAGTAGTTTATTTATTAAAAATATTTAGTGAATTTTTTTATCTCCATGTACTAATTATTTCACGGTCCAATTACATCTTTAGCCATTAAAATTTTCTCTTGTTTCACTTAAGCACCGAAGTTTCATTGTTTTACTAAAACATCAAATTATTCATTTATCACATTTTAGTCCTTAAACCTTTTATTCAACATCAATGATTGTTTAATCCGTAATATAAATAAATTAATCTCAATTCCCGAAAATTAAATAACAAAATAACTCATCAATAATTTTTTTTGGATCATCGGACGTTAAGTGTCTAAATGATTATTTAGTCGACAATGATTTTTTTAATGTGGGTATATTAATAAGAAATTAGATTTTATTGTGAAAAAACTCAAATCATTGTCATTTTATTGTATTGACTATATATGAGAAATTAAAAAACCAAATAAAAATAAGACTCATGAATATTATTTTAGTGTAAATTATATTCTATAATTTTTATACTATAAGAAATAACCTCGTAAGCCATCATTTAATTTTTTTAACAAGATAAAAACTGTTAATTGTATTAAAATAAAAAAAATTAAAGTATAATAAAAATTTATAATCACAACCGTTTAAAATATAAAAAAATTATGACTACAACTGTAAATTAAAACACATGACAATTAATATTTTTATATAATTATTAACCTTAACAACACACATAATATATAAGAAAAACATTAAAAATTTATTTAAATAGACTCGAATAAAAGATACAAAATGTGAATCACCATCTTTAAAACAGCATTACCTAGAGAAATCATTACCACCTTTTTTTTTTACTTTTGCTTTTAGTATTCTCACTCTCTCCCATCACAATCCCGGAAGAAGGCACTAGGGATTCGATCTCTGGTCTCTTGAAAGCGAAACCAATAGTTCCTTGTGCGTGGATTCCCTTTCTTTGCTTTTAAAGAATCAGTAACACTACGAATCTAAAAAATGGAGTCTCTCCAATCTCAACAGCAGCAACAGCCAAAGAAGAGAGGTCGAAAACCCAAGCCAAAGGACGAGAAAGAACAGCAAAGCGCTGCTAAAATGAAAGAAGGAAAGAAATCCCTACAACAAGCAAGCGTTGATGACAACTACACTCAGTGGAAGTCTTTGGTCCCTGTTCTTTATGACTGGCTTGCTAATCACAATCTCGTTTGGCCCTCTCTCTCTTGCCGTTATTTCTTTTTAAACCCTTTAAAGGGTTCTTGGGTTTTTTTGCTCTGTTGCTATACACGATGTTACTTTTGCTTTAATGTTGGTTTCTTTTTGGGTTGTTGTGTTTGCATCTAAAAATCTTAAATTTTTTGTGATAAACTCTAGTGGACTCTTATTGAGCTGGTGGTCTGTTTTCATTTCTTGGCTCCTGTAATTATCCATTTTGGGTTTTTAATCTGAGATAGTTTCTATTTTGTTTGCTTCAATTTTGTGTTAGAATGTTGCAATTTAGCCCCTTTTTTCTTGAATTATTTATCGTGTTTATCATGTTTCTCGATGATTATTTTGTTTGGTTTTGAACAGCTGGGGACCTCAGCTCGAGCAAGCTACTTACAAGAATCGTCAGCGTCTCTACCTCTCTGAACAGGCAAGTATATTTCCTTCTTATGGGTCATTTCTCAGCACTTTAAGAGAACTTGAATATAAATTGCAACGTGAATGGAAGGGAGCTCTTTTCTGGAGTCTTAATTATTAGCCGTAATAGATGCAATGCATCAAGTTTTGTACTCTTTTGAGTTGATGGAATTTACAAGGAAACTTTGTAGAAAAATGCCGAAGCATGATAAGTTTGTTTCTTGTGCTTATAAGTTATCTATTTTGATACCTTTGTTTTGATTATTGTCTTATGTTATAATACCAGACTGATGGTTCCGTTCCAAATACTCGTGATTGCGAATTGCGAAGTTGTCAAACCTAGGGTCGCTGCTGCTGAGCACATATCTCAGGTAACTCATTCCCACAGTGTCTTTTTCCTTGTTTTGCACTTCAACACTTGTGCATGCAGCTTTCTTCTCTTCATTCACACGAGTACTTTATAAATTTCAGTTTAATGAAGAAGCACGCTCACCATTTGTGAAGAAGTACAAGACCATAATACATCCTGGAGAGGTATGGATCTTGCACATGCTAGAAAAATAAACGTGCTTGTGTGAAGTTGAGTGCTGACTTATCCACCATCACTGTTTTCGGAACTCAACTATGTATTGGACAATGTAATTATTCCTTTTGAGATGTGGCACTAAAATATAATCCATGCTTTGGTGTATGGCTTCGGTGGGTGATAGATATTATGCATACTTGAATTCCATTTTTTTAACAAGTATAACCTTAAATTATGCAAATATCTATTTTATCCTTTTGTTTTAATGATATATATAACTTTTTGGTCTGACCGACAAACTTTATCTTGCAGGTGAACAGAATCAAGGAACTTCCGCAGAACTCTAAGATTGTGGCCACTCACACTGATAGTCCAGATGTAAGACTTGTTATTTTTGTTTTGTTAAAATATATGGAACCATTATTTCTGCCGTGTTTTCTTTCTAAGGTAGTTGTTAAAGTCTGCCCGACACCGAGGCATTCCCGGTGGAAATTGGACTCCACCAGGGGTCGGCTCTTAGCCCTTACATCTTTGCCTTGATTATGGACGACATCTATTCTGCGACACCAGACGGTGTTCCATGGTGTATGTTTTTCGCTGACGACATTGTCCTAGTAGCTGAAACAAAAACCGAGCTAAATAGAAGACTAGCTGCCTGGAAGACTGCTTTGGAAGAAAAATGTCTAAAGATCAATATTGAAAAGATAAAGTATTTATACTCAAACTTCTATGGGAACCAAAACGATGATGATGTAGAAGTATGTATAGAAGGACACGTGATCCCCTCAAAGGAATGTTTCAAGTACTTAGGGTCTATGATACATAAAGATGGGATGTAGATGATGACGTTACACATCGTATAAAGGCGGGATGGTTAAAGTGGAGGGCTGCTACTAGAGTTTTGTGTGACAAGAATGTGCCTTTAAAACTTAAGGAAAAAATTTATAGAATGACAATAAGACCAGCGCTGCTGTATGGATCAGAATGTTGGGCAATCAAGAAGGATCACGTAAGGAGGATGGAGGCTGCAGAAATGAGAATGCTTCGGTGGACATGTGGTAGGACTCTGTGGGACATGACACCAAACTCTGCTATTAGGATGTCCTTGGGGTGGTGCCTGTATCCGAAAAATTAAGGGAGAGAAGACTACGGTGGTTTGGGCATGTGTGGACATGACACTAATTTTCGTTCATTTTTTTTCCCGGATATTTCTATATATAATTTGCAAGCGGTTTGAAAATACGTATATAATATATATGGTTTTTAAAACACTTTTAAAAACTATATATTATATATATTTTCAAAACATTTTAAAATATATATAATATATAATTTTTGAAAAACATTTTAAAAATATATAATATATAATTTTTGAAAAACATTTTGAAAACATATAATATATAATTTTTAGAGCATTTTTGAAAACTTATATATAATATATATTTTTTTTAAAATATTTTTAAAAAATTATATAATTTTTAAAAGAACATTTTTAAAAATTATTAGTTTTTTGAAAAACATTTTTGAAAATTTATATATAGTATATAGTTTTTTAAAAAATAAACAGTTTTAAAATATATATTATATAGTTTTTATTTATTGTTTTTATTTATTATTATTCACCAGTTTTTATTTAATTATTTAATTATTATTTTTTTGTTTTTTTAGGTAAATTGTTTTGGTCCAGCAACAGTCCAAATTGGGCCTGAATCAGCCCGTAGCCAACATTCAAAGGAGATAGGGTTTACACACGTTTAACACAGGCGGCGCACAGGAGAAAATCCTAAGACCTCATTTGTGCAGCCAGATCTAGACCGTTGGATCTGACCCAATCCAACGGTCGAGATCAAATCAAGGAATATTCCAGAAGTCACACCAACAGTCACAGACGGCGCGAGATTTCCGGCCGAGATCCCCGGGACTGACCCATCCCGGGGTGACCAGTCACAACAGCCACGATCGCCCCTATTTCGAAACTAACAGGCCACAGGTGGGGTATAAAGACCCCCACCAAGCCACTACCAAGGGGGATCATCAGAGAACACAGGACCGGAAAAAACGGTACATCAACGGAGATAACCCCCGAGAACACAGTAAACAAACAACCATCACAGTGAGATACAACCACGATACCAATAGAGAACCATCAGCCACAAACAGAGACCATCGATCGGGAACCACGAAACCCACGAGTAAACTAAAAAACCAACAGAATCAACGAGTACACCAAACAACAACAGAGATATCAGCAGAGAAATACAACCAAAGACACATATCACAACAACAAAAAGAGCAGTGAGCGAAGCAAAAAACTTCAACAACCGCGTCGGAGGTCAGAAAGTCACCGACGGAAAAGGTGAAAACCGAGGTTTGCATATTAGATCTACGGTTATTGGGGTCGATTTTGAGGGTTTGGTGGCTAGTTTTGGGTTTACGGGGTTGAGAGCAACGCGTGAGGGGCATTTTTGTTTTTTCGGCCACCACCAGTGGTGGCCGTTGGCGACGTCTGACGGTGGTCGGGAATCGCCTGAGGGGAGGAGCTTGAGAGGTTTGAGAGATTTATCAGAGAGAACACGGGCGAAAATAAGAGAAATGAATTGCAAGGAGGCTTATTTGGGCATTTATATACGGAGGACCGGAGTGCAAATAGATGATTTCTAAATCCTCTCCGCAGTCCCTATAGCTTTGAATCGCTTTACAATTCGGTCATCAATTGTAATTTGGCCTCGAAATTTTTAATTTTATCAATTTGACCCTGGTTTATATTTTTACATTTTTGTGAATTGGCCACTCACTTATGATTTTATTTTGCAGGTCATTTTTCTAATATCAATTTAACCCATTAATTCCAATTTTGTTCAATTTGATCCTTCAAGTTTTATTTTATCATTATTAGTATTATTTTTTTTCATTAGTATTGATTTCGAACTTTAATTCTTTTTTGATTCCTTTACTATTTTCTTTTTTTCATTATCATTTTTTTCTTTAAATTTTTTAAAAAAAATCCAAATTTTATTTATCATTTTTTTCTATTTAGTTTTTATTTTATTTTTAAGCTTATTTTATTTTTTTATTTATTCTTTTCCTCTTTTTTCTTTTGTATTTATTTTGATTTATTTTTTTTATTTGTTTATTATTGAATTATCTTTTTAACATTTTTTATCTTTTTTCAGAGAAATTTTAATCGGTCAAAGGTAAGTAACTCGAATCGGATTTTTAAATTTTAATTTAAATTTTTAATTTTTGCAATTAAAGACAACCGATAAATTAATTGGTACCGAAAGGGCGGTTCAAGGGTGCTAATCCTTCCTTGACCGTAACCGACTCCCGAACCCGACACATTTCTGGTACAACGCAGATCAGGTAAGATGGTGTCCGACCCACCTAAATTCATTTTAAAATGGTCGGTGGCGACTCTAATCCAATTCATTCAAGTCGAAGCCCAATTCCGGGCCCAACCGAAAGACGGTTACAACAGCTTGGCGACTCCGCTGGGGACAGGTAAGTGAGTCAGGCCAAAATTAATTTTCGGTTGTCTTTTTATGCGAAAATTTTAATTTTAAATTTATTTATTCGATTCCAATTATTTATCTTTGATCATTTTTCAAATAAATAGTTGTACTGACATTTTGTTCAATGATTTCAGATTTTTTAAAAGTTTCTATCTCTGGCTCTATACCCAAGCCCCGGACCCTATTTAAGTGGGGGTGAAAGCGACGCCTTCGTGTGAATTTATTCTCCGTATGGGCCTAGCAAGTAACCTTCGGGATTCATATACCTTATGCCTTCGTGTGAATTTATTCTCCGTATGGGCCTAAGGGAATGTATCCTCCCGAGTTTAACTTAGTCCACACAAGCCTGTGATGGGTTTAAGACTAAGGGTCTGGTAAGCCCAAGGGGGCACCAGAAAGGATAACTCGGGTACCTTTTTTTTAGAACCTAAACCGGGAGACTACAAGGAGTTAGAGCCCACCCCAAAACCTCATTCCAAACCCTAGGATGCTGAAATTATTTCCTACTTTACTTTCTGTTCAAAACATGTGAACTAGAAATTTATGCGGTTAGGACTTGTTCAAAATCAACTTGTGGGATAGAGATCATGTTCGGGTAGGAATAATAAGCATGTGAGCTAGATATCATGTGGGGTAGGACTTTCATTTTTATGATCATTTTTTATTATTTTTCACATCATTAACTCTTTTCATCTTTCTTCTATTTTATTTATTTTCATCACTTGCATTATTCAAAAGAGGTGTTGATCCACCAAAAACGTGTTTGTTAAACATGAATAATTTGTATTAATGGACAAAGGGGTTGTAATACAAGAGATGAAAATACAGAGGACAATCTACAAGGCGACTATGTGGTCCCCACAAGTAAAGAGTAGATCACTCTGGTGCATTATAAAAGACTCAGGATGAACCGGGTATACACCAAGTAATGAAAGTCTATCTTTGAAGAATTGACTGCCAAAGGTTGCAGAGCAAAACGAGGAAAAGGTTACAGACCCGGACGCTCCTTTCAAAAACTACGAGAACAAGACGGCGAAACCCTAGCTGAGCTGAATGTCAATGCTGACGAATTCAAGAAGAAAACTTCGATAGAGGGCTCCAATGGTGTTGCTGCTAGGGAACCGACTCGGCAGAGAGTAGAAGCCGGAGGTGCAGTCCTTCGAGACTCTTTTTGGGGCAAACAACTCATCATCTGCATAAGTTGGAGCGGTTCGACAGATTATCCAACCGGTGACAGACGAACGCAGAAGACTAGTCAACATGTCAGAAGTTGTCAGAATATTCTTGTCTCTTAAAAGATAAAACACTTTTGTCCCCAATAAGGATTATTTTTAATAACAGATACATTTTTGGATTAATGCCTCGATCATTTCATGCATCATATATTTAGACATTTTGCATTTTTTATTTTTTTTGCATTTTGTTATTTTCTTTGCATTCACATTAACTAACATAAACATGTCTCATCAAAGGGAGCAAATACTGGATACACCGCCTCAAGCATTGGACACACCCCATCCGCATAACACTCGTTTGAAGAAGAAGAGGATGGAAGCCAGAATTACACAAATCGAGGAGAATATGTTGAAACTACAGAAAGAGCTAGAAGATAAGATAAACCAAAATAGTCGAAATACTCTAGAAACAATCACAAAGAACCAAGAGTCCTTGGTTGATCAGATCGTTGCCAAGTTAGTTGGCCTACAACAGACCAGTGTGCCTGGGGCAGGTTCATCGGAAGGGGTAACTATACAACCTACCCCACAAGTGGTTATCTCACCTGAAATCTTACCAGAACTTCGAGGGGACTCATCTGCGGCAAAAGCAAAGCCCTCGTCATCTGTATTTAACCCTAAGAACAATCCGGGTTATTACCATGTACCGGATTTGGATGAAGAGGACAAAGCGAAGAAGATGGAGGAAAAAATCAAACAA